GTGTTTGTAGAGCGACCCACGATGCAGGGCAACATCTTTTCGAACGCGTATCGCGCCATCTCGGGTGGCCTCAACGACAATCTCTCGCGACGCTTCTCGTTTGACGCGACGTCGCCCGCGACCGTGTGCGTGACGCTCCAAGTCCACGCGCTGCCGTCGTCGCCAGCGCTGTTTTCCGCGCCGAGCCGGGACGCGCCGCTGGTCCGCTTCATTGCGTCCAAGGACTGGACGTACGAAGAGCTACTGACGCATTTGCGGCATACACTCAAAGTCTACAGTGTCTGTGGGCTCTACGCGGTCAACAGCAACGCCCAAGTGCTCTCGCCCGCCCACCTTTTCCCGAACGAGACACTCCGCGTCGAGGTCGAGACGGAGCCGCGAACGGAACCCGACACCCGCGTTCCCCGACCGCCCGTGTACCTCAAGCGCAACAAGTCCAAGACTCTGGTCAAGAAGACGCCGGTGAAACTGGCCGTCGCGGTCTCGCCGTCCAAGCAACACTTGCGCCGGTCGTCGTGCTCGCATTGCGTCGGCGACTCGGAGTCGGATGCGATTCTGTCACCTCGCCGCAGCGCACCGAGCCTCCTAGGTGCTCCGATCTCGGACGTGGTTCCGCCCACTGCCCGGTTCCGGGATCTCTCGTCGTTCCAGGCGGCGGCCGGTGACTGTTTTCGGCAGTCAATCTTGCAGCTGCGCAGCCAAAGCTCGTCGTCGGCGTCCGACACGATGACCAGTGACAACTCGCCAACCAAAGAAGTGGTCACGGAGGTCAAGGCGCCGGAAACGGTGCCCGAGTCACCGATGCCGTCGTCGGTGCAGACACCGGGAACACCGCTACCGGCGCTACCAACGGCGCTGCCTGTTGTCGTGCGGCCCGAGAGCCAAACGAAACGTCCGCGCAGCTTTGACGCAGCAACGCCCGACCGCACTGTGCTCGTGAGCGGCCGAGGCATTCAGCACCAAGTGGAGACGGAAGATCAGGCGCGCCCGTCGCTCGAAGCTAGCGCTGTGATTGAGCGAACGTCGGAGCGGCGTCGCAATGGCCCGCGGCGGTCGCAATCGGTGCCAGACTTTGAGGTCAAGCCTCCGGGGTTCTGGAAGCGCATGATCGGAAAGAAACACTAATATTTGCTACTCTTCTTTTAATCGAACCCTAGTCTCTAGAAAGGAAATACAGTTCGTTTCTCCCCTTGCCAGCTCTGGCCTCGTAGATAGATAGATAGATAGATAGATAGATAGATAGATAGATAGATAGATAGATAGATAGATAGATAGATAGATAGATAGATAGATAGATAGATAGATAGATAGATAGATAGATAGATAGATAGATAGATAGATAGATAGATAGATAGATAGATAGATAGATAGATAGATAGATAGATAG